CCAAAATCCTCCAAAAAAAAAAAAAAAAAAAAAAAGGACTTGACGATTTCGGTTCAGAAAACAAGCCGAAATTGCGGCCAGGAACATAAAAGGGTCTCGCCGCACGGCACACGAAACGAAAACGAAACGAAAACGAAACGAAAACGAAACGAGTGCATCTGCTCACGAAAGGTGGCGAAATACACGCGTTACTATTTATAGCATGAACAACACAGTCACTGTCGCTGTCCAACCGAACTAAGTCTCATGAACGGGCAAAATGGGTTTGGTCTATCACCATCACCCTCTTCATTAAGAAAAAAAAAAAAAGACTGCATTGTAAACAACAATTGTGAGGATGATAAGAGGCTACTAGGAGCAAAAAAAAAGAAAAAAAAAAAGGTTGGGTCTGTCTCCTCCTTCAGAATAATGGCCTTGCGCAGAGATGATCTCTGGGAAAAGAAAGAGAGAGAAAACCGGATTTTTAACTACGCTACCAGCCGGGCCGCCCGGGTCCCGGGTGGCCAGCCCGTGCAAGGACCAAGGCCGGTCCCAGCAAAAAAAAAAAAGAAAAAGAAAAAAAAAAACAAATCCGGAAAAAAACTATGTTATGCAGAAAAATAAAGTGAACAACTTTTATCCAAAAATAATAATAATAAATAAAGTGAACAACTTTTGCCTGAGTCACATCGAGATTCTTTACCAAATTTAAAATAAAAAATAAATTTCAAAAATCTTTTTTAACTACTTTTTTTTTTTTTTTTTTTTTGGCCCGGCCGGGCAAGTGAACTCGGGCCTTTTAGTCAGTTATGCACCACCGTCTTCACCCGAATATAACGCCCCGTCATTATAGCTGTATTTGGTCCAACTTTCAGTCTATATACACCAGCGATAACCACCAACGTTCTATTCGGCTGAAGACGGTGGCAGATAAAGCAGCAACAGACTACCAACCACCAACTCAAAGTCAAAAATGAATCCACGATTTTATCAAAGTACATCGACAAAGGACTCAGCCGTTAGAAAAAAACACGGACTTTTCAGACAACATAGTATACCAACAAAGGTTTTTCCCCCCCTCTCAAATTCCCTTTTACTACCTTCCTATTACTACTACTAAAAGGCTAAAAGAGGGGACCATTATGTTTCCAAAAAGTCTGGGCTAACAAAAAAAAAAAAAAAGGCGAAAAAAAAAAAAGGACTTCGCTAAGAGGCGGCTAACTACCGTCTTCAACCTAACACAATGTACGGTCATTTCGAGTGCAGACAGTACGCGTTCTATTCGGGTAAAGACGGTAGAATCAGCCAAAGACTCAGCCATATTCATGCATAAAGACGGTAGAATCAGCCAAAGACTCAGCCACAATGTACGGCCTTTAGCCCAACAACTCTTGTTGTGTTCCATATATACTCATAGGTAGCGCAAGCGACACAWWAAAMMAAAAAAAAAAAAAAAAAAAAAARMAAAMATTYTTTTYTTTTTTTTTTTTTTGGGAAAAAGCAAGAAATTCCATTACAACAGCAAACTTCTCGCCTGTTACGCCAGGCTTAAACCGAAGCCACGGCAACAACCGACAGTTCAGTTCGGGGGTCGTAACATTCGAATACAAGCATGCCGCCCTTCGAGAGATCCGGTAAAATTGAAAAACGATACAGAGGCCCTCGCCGCACGGCACACGAAACGAAAAAAGAAACGACTGCATCTGGCCATAGTGGGTGGCCAAATACACACTCGTTCCTCTTTCTAGTAGACCTATGATCCGCGCTCCATCTTCTGGATGAATCACTCCATCTTCTGCGGGAAGATGCAGTCATTTCGCTTTTTTGTTTTGTGTGACGGGCAGCGAGCCCCAGAGAAAAAAGATTGGCACGATCCAAATTAAAAAATAATAATAAATAAAAATAATAAATAAAATAAATAATACAATAATAAATAAAATAAAAAATAAAAAATGAAGGACAATCGCGACGCTCCTCGGACTTGAGATCTAGGACAAGCTCCGCCCGCTGGCTTATTATAATAATAAATAATAAATAATACATAAAATAAATAATACAATAATAAATAAAATTAAAAAATAAAATAAAATAAAATAAAATAAAAAATGAAGGACAATCGCGACGCTCCTCGGACTTGAGATCTAGGACAAGCTCCGCCCGCTGGCTTATTACCCTCCGGGGTCGCACACATCGCTCCTTTCTGTTTGCTGTGTTCGGTATGGGTACATCACAGTTGGGGGGGAAGGGGGGAAAGGAGGGTGGGGGGGAAGGAACTGTAACAGCAATTACTGTTATTGAGCGTCCCTCCACTACACAACATGCATTTCGACGACTTGCAGACCTGGTGCATTCGGACCACTGCAACATTTCGAATGTATCGGGTCCAGACAGCGTCCAAATGCATGTGGAGTGCTGCGCACTGGAGCGAGGCTCACTGCTGACCTAATTGTTATTGAGGAGACCATCGTACGGTTACTACTCCCCCAATACGTGAGGGTATCTGCAGGGAAGAAGGGGGCATTAATTGGCGGGAAAAGCGCATGTGGGGACTGTGATTGCGGGCCGAAATATCGAGCGCGCTGAAAACAGCAGGCGAGAGGGGAGCCATTCATTAACTGGCGGGAAAACAGCAGGCGAGAGGGGGGGGGGGCATTCATTAACTGGCGGGAAAACAGCGGGCGAGAGGGGGGCATTAACTGGCGGGAAAAAAGCGGGCGAGAGGAGGGAATTAACTGGCTGGAAAAAGCGCATGTGAGCACTGATTGCGTGCGGGAAGCGCAAAGTTAGTTCCCGGGAGCGAGAGACCGGCTGAAGGCGGGCCTCGCTCCACCACGCGGTAAATGCGAACGTAAAGTCTGTATCATGCCACCTTTGTGTCCACATACACGCGTCATTTTGTGCTATTGACCAGTCCTCGAGCGAATGGATACCAAGGCAGTAGTTTGGCAAGGCGAGCCGATGGAAGGCGGGGGGGAGAGGAAGAGGGTGGGTGTTAGAGGGGGGAGAAGGCGAGAAAAAGGCTGATCAGGATTACACACAAGATCCAAAGTGGGGAAGATGGCGAGAACAGGGAGAGCCGCAATGGGGAGCGACAGAGGGGGCGGGGAAGAGGAGGCGCTAGAAAGGCGGGAAAGGAGGGGGTAGGGAAGTTGT